TCATCCTTCAGCCCAGCACTTGATTAACCTCAACTGTTGAGCCTGCATGGTCTCAACGGTGAGCTTCCAATCTATGAAAATCTTCTTTGTCTCTCCTGTTGTCTCGGTCACCACTCCGTGAACTGGTGCCATCTTCATAACTTCCAGGTTTGCTAGGATGAACATTCTTTTGATTAGCCTGCTTCCATTGGCTTACCCATATGAGAGCCGCACGAGGAGGCGAAATGGCACCATGCAAAGCCTCGCTGCAACACCTCCAGTATATCAATCAAATGGAGGACGAATCGATTGTCAGATAGCCACCTTGGCCGGTAACCCAACGGGCAACTTGATTGATCACAACCTACCTAGTGTCCTTTGTGAGCACTAATTGTCAATACACCTTGCCTAGTTCTTCTGACGTGTATGGGTTGCGGATCATATCATCCTTCTCCAAGGCTGTCAGCCGAACCCTAGGAGATGAGATGGTGATACCTTGCCATCCTATAGCTGATAGCCTCTTCCTTGGCCTGCTGATAGGCTTCGGGCTATGATGTATAAGTTACAAGGGCTGCCCATGTGGGAGCGTTGTTCTTTCCAACTCGAGGCTTCCTATACTTGTCTTTGGCTCAGGGTTAAGTACTTGCTATCACGGCTTCAGCCACTTGATACCCAAGGCCACAGTCATTTTACTCTAGAGGTACCTACTATTTTCTTAGTGGCCATTCTTCGTACAAACGCCGCTATACCACCATGGCCACTCCTGCCAAGAAGAAAGACTTCAACAAGACGCCCCAAGAACTCGTCACCGAATTCTGGGACCAGTTCTTCGTCAAGAAACCCGGAAAAGTTACTCGGATCTTTCCACGCAGCCTCTATGAGACTCTCCTGCCACCCTCCCAGCCACAAGGTGTCAGCTCCTCCCGCAATGCCACGGATAGCTACCAGGCCGCCGTCAAGGAGTGCAAGGAGAAGGTGAAGCGCATTGTCAAGGAATGCGAGCGCACCAACGAGAAGTTCACTGATCCGGATTTCGACATTGAGGGTGACTTTGAAGTCCGGAACTGTCTCCACGGACTCACCCATGATGCTGACTTGAATGAGTTCTTCGGCGAGCTCCAAGAGCTGTACGACCTGGGTGCCGCCAAGGGCGCCAAAAAAGGCATCAAGTCTCGCGGAGCTCCTCGCAGTGCCGATGACGCTCCCGAAGCGCCGGCACTCGAGGGATCAAAAGGTCGACGTGAGGGTGTTAAGGCTGGCTGGCGTGAAACTTTCACCCCGGGCTCCGTCCATCGCCTCGACTGGATCTTTGAATCGCCCCAGTGGACCAAGGACGGTTACTCCTCATCCGATATCAAGCAGGGCTGTGACGGAGACTGCTGGTGGCTGGCTGCCGTGGCCACCATCGCTCATCGCAAGGATCTCATGGACAAAGTCTGCGTTGCCCGCGACGAGGAAATCGGCGTTTACGGCTTTGTCTTCTTCAAGGACGGCGAGTGGATTAGCACTGTGGTGGACGACAACCTCTACCTGACGGAAGAGGACTACAGGCACTACTACGACGAGTACGACCCGACAGGGAAGAAGGGACGTAAGCACCGGAAAGACAAACAGACGGGGTCTGGGGCCCTTTACTTTTCCCAATGCTCTGATCCGAACGAGACGTGGCTGCCCCTCCTGGAGAAGGCATATGCCAAGGTTCACGGGGACTACGAAGCCATTTCCGGCGGTTGGCCTGGTGAGGGCGTCGAAGACATGACGGGCGGTGTGTCTGCCATGCTGCAGTCGAACAGAGTGCTGCGGAAGGACAAGCTGTGGAAGGAGCTGGTGAATTCGAATGGCGACTTTGTCTTCTCGTGCAGTGCCCACGGCTATGCCTCTACGAGAGGCAGCATGGCCAACGGCCATGCGTATTCCATTCTGAAAGCCACAGAGGAGGTTGACGAGGATGGCAGGAAGGTCAGATTGGTCAAGATTCGAAACCCATGGGGTGAGCGGACGTCGGCGGGACAGGGCGAGTGGGATGGGCCTTGGTCGGACGGATCTAAGGAATGGACGCCCTATTGGTATGCCACCTCCATCTCTCGCCGAAATAATCACAATGCTATCACATGGCAGAAACTGACAAGGAACCGTCCTATCTAGGCTCAAGAAACTCGACCACAAGTTCGGTGACGACGGCGAGTTCTGGATGTCGTATCAAGACATGTTGGACAACTTTTTGTACCTCTATCGCACCCGTCTCTTCGACGACAAATGGACGGTCGTCCAACAATGGACCAATGTCACAGTTGGCTGGATTGCTGGCTACTTGAACAAGAAGTTTGTCATCGAAATCAAGAAGGGAGGAACGGTGGTGATTGTGCTGAGCCAGGTTCGTGACTCTTTCCCTCATGCATCCGGCTGTTCTTTTCGCTAACAGTTCTCTGTAGCTCGATGAGCGTTATTTCCAAGGCCTGGAAGGACAATACATGTTCATTCTCCACTTCGTTTTACAGGACAAGGATGGAAAGGAGCAGCTCTGCCGCGTGCGTCCTACCCTGAACTGGAGTTCCCGATCAGTTAGCTGCGAACTCGATCTCGAGCCCGGGCGCTATGAAGTCTTGCCGAAGATCACGGTCGAACGGGACACCAGCCAGCGTATGGTTGAGGATGTTGTCACCCGATGGTATGCTTAACTCAAAAGCCTAACTTACGCTTTGAAAATTGCATGTAAACTAACAACGACTGATACCAGGGCCGAGGAAAACCCCGCCAAACTCCGCCAAATCGGCATGCAGTATGATCTCGCCCACGCCAAGGGCGGCGTCCCCGATGAGGACGAGATCATCACCCAGCGAAAGGAAGAAAAGAAGAAGAAAGAGGAGAAGAAGAAGGCCAAGGCCAAGGCCAAGCGTGAAAAGGAGCGTAGAGAGAAGAGGAAGCAGAAGCAGGTGCAGATCACCATCAACATGCCTGAAGGGTCTACCGTGGACACTTCCAGTACCGGCACAGAGTCTGATAAAAAGGAGGAGAAGAAGGAGACGGCCGAGGACAAGAAGGAGGAAGAGGAGAAGTTTGAGGATGCTGTGGAGGAGAAGGCCAAAGATGATGAGAAGAAGAAGGAGGAACAACCCAAGAAGGTAAGTGCTCCTTCATCCTCATCCAAGAGCGCCGGAGACGCTGCGGCTGGTGAAGGAAAGAATACTGAAAAGAAGGGCGGTGAAAAGAAGGAAGATACTGCTGCTGCAGAAGAGACTAAGGTTGAGGACAAGGTTGCCAAGGAAGAGAAGAAACAGGAGGAAAAAGAAAAGGTAGTTGAGGAGCCGAAGCCGACGGCGGCTGCCACTGAAGAGGTCGAGGAAGACCTGTCTGAAGATGAGGAAGAAGAAGAGGAGGAGCCCAAGATCGAATATGAGGAGGGCAAGATTCCCTGGAACGCCGTTTGCGTCGTTGGGCTGAGGGTATATGCTCAGGATCCCGATGTCACGGTCACGCTGGCGACTCCGAACACTGCCGAGGAGGGCGCTAGTCTTGTTATGGATCAGCACGCTGTTGGGGCTACCATTTGAGGACGTGAATTGTGAGCCCGATGGACTTTATGAGAACAGGATGGAGACTCTGAAGGATACAAAATAGGCTGTAGTCATGATGTAAGGCAAAAAATGATCTCTCTTCTCCCGGGGTTACTTGGTGGGAATGTGAATGACTGGAAAGCTTCACTGGGCTCCCATAGACGGGCTCGCATGTGATGACAACTGTCATAGCAATGTCCTGCTTTTGGCCCAAGGATATTCAGTGTTTTGATACCTCCAGCATTTCGTTCGAAGCCCTCTTGTTCTTCATCATCGTCATCTTCTTCTCTTTTCATGTACCTCCTCATTTCTTTGTTCTCGTACTAATGAGGTAGCGACAGTGCTGCTAGGGGGTCCAGAGAGTACAAATAGAGGGTCAACCCAAGGGGTTGTGGAAGGGAGGTTCTTATTCGATTTGGATGTGAATCAGGAACCTATGTTTTGTGACATATCTCACCAACACTCTACACTAACCAGCTAGTGGATAGCCGTCATGTTTGTAGCCATATAATCCCCCAACCATTTTAGGTTGACGTCAAACTAAAGTTACAGAGTTGAGAAGGGACTGCGGGGTGGTGTGTTGGCTATCAAGGTTCCCGTTCCCTGGGGGGCACCGCTAGCGCAGGGGCACGATAGTAGCATTATCTCTACTAGGACCTTCTAAGATATGGTATACATTACGAATCAAGGATTAAGAAGCTATTCCGGGCAATTGTGTTCAAGAAAACAGCCATCCTTCATCCCTTCTGGTATCAATGGCCTTAAACCCATAAATCATGGCAAAGCAACCGGTCATACCCTACGTGACGGCTTCGGGACGGCAGTCTCTTTGTTGAGCTTCGGGTACCTGGCCTAACATGCACTGATAAACGCATCTGACCTCGGCTGACGTCTGGCCCCAGCATCCAGTCCCCGGCCCTAAAGTAGCGCCTTATCGGTTATCGCCTGGGGCTGTTCCTTCCCGTCGGTTGCGTCGCTCGCCCCCTCCGCCGTCTTCGGCTTTCGACTTCATCCTCTCGCCATCATCAACCCCCACCGCACCTCCGAGACTACCATACTCTGTGTCGCCGTCTAAGACAATCCGGTGGTCACCTGCAGCGGCTGACCTGAATCATGGATAGTCGCCGAGACTAGTCACAATCAAATCTGTGTCTGTTCCTTTTCTCCAGATCCGCTGAGCCCCTCTCTCCATCTCCGCATCAACATGTTTCTTGGAAAGTGGTGACCGCCTCGAACGAAGACACCTGCCCACTCCACACCTCCAGCCGTTAAAGACAGTCTATATATACCTTCAATATCCAATTGTTCCCAACTTCCTCGAACAGTTCGCGCCGTGATACTCCCTCATCTCTTCTCCGATCTTCAACAATCAACAAACCATCAAGTGGAACAGCAGGCCTCGGGCGAATGGATGACAACAATATCAGCAGCCCCTCATCACCATAATCAAGAAACCCCAAGCTGCCAATGTCATTCGAAATGCCGCCACCGAATACACCTGAAGAAGGAGTAGCAGCCCCAACGATCTCCTCGCGAGCCGACGCACGCCGGATTTTCGGCTCCGGGGTCCCCTCTACTATCTACGATTCTCCTGCCTCGTCCCCGGGCGGCTCCAGACGCAGCTCAGTTGCCGATTACGGCCCGTATCAAGTCCCTTCACGGGGTCATACGCACGACCAGTCCGAATATGGAATTGACTACCAGGCGCTCGACTATGCCCAACAGATCGACGAGGCTTTGTTATGTCCCATCTGCCACACGCCCTTCTTCATGCCCATGACGACCAAGACGTGCGGTCACACCTTCTGCGCCTCGTGTCTCGACCGCGCTCTCGAGACCCAGCACGTATGCCCCATTGACCGCCGACCCCTCGACATCAGCCGAGACATTAGCCAGACCCGAACCCGCGTAATACTCGACCAGCTCGACCGTCTCAAAGTCAAGTGCCCAAATAGCGGCTGCGATCATGTTTGCTCGCGGGAGCTTCTATACGCACACGTCGAACGTTATTGCGAGCAAACCCTTGTTCGCTGCCCCGACCATCATTGCGACGAGATGATCTGCCGGAAAGACGCGCGCCCCGAGAACGGGTGTCTCCATTACGTTACGCCCTGTCCCTACTGCGAGATGGCCATTACTTTCAACGACCTCGAGAGGCACTACGACCAAGAGTGTACGGGACAAGAAGCCGAGTGCCCGCACTGCGACGCTGTCCTCGTCCGCCACCGTCTGGCCAAGCACATTGCGACTGACTGCCGCGAGGTCGAAACACACTGCCAGTTCCAGAGCGCTGGGTGCAAACAGGTTGCGCCGAGGAAAGATATCGAGGAGCATCTCAAGAACGGGTGCATCTATGAGGCGATTGCAAATCTCATGCAGGCACGGGAGCAAGACCACAAGATTATCAATGAGTTGAAGGGACGACTAGACGCTCTAGACGGACGAACACGGCATCTGGAAAGATATGGTGGTGGTGGTGCTGGCAGCAGTGGGGTACGGGAGTCATCTGCATTCACCAGAGCAGCACCGCCATCGTCTGGCCTAACCGCCGATGCCCTCAACAACTTGAACCGTATGCAGTCGGCCACGTCAGGTGACGCAGACATCGATGAGGCCAATCACAACATTACGCTGGATGACCTCTTTGAAACTTTCGACCAAGAAAACAACCACCACAATGACAGCAACTACAGTAGCCCACAAGCGGCGGCGGCAGCGATGGCGGCGGATGCACCCCCGGCCCCGTGGGCACACAACAGTGGCGATGGGCCGTGGGAGTCACCAGAGGATTACATGCTTTCCCAGTTTGAGGCCATGGAGGCCAAAATTGAAGACTTGCGCAAGATGATGGTGGAGCTTGACGGGAGACACACAATGAGGCTGGTCAATGATACGATGAGGATGAACGAGCAAATCGCCGAGCTTGGGAGTAAAGTAGGAGTATTAGGAATGCATACTACGTGGTTGATGAGCATGCAAAGGCAAAGTCGCGGACAGCAAAATGGCTCTGGGTCAACGCCCGGGACTACGAGATCAAATATTTCTGCTAGTGGTGGCGGCAGTGGCGGTACGGGTGGTAATAACGAAGAGGGGAGAGGCAGGACGAATACGGCGGCGACTGGTGCTTCGAGCTCGTCGAGGACGGCAACACAGACACAGCAGGGTAGCAGGAATGGTGATGGAGAGAGTGCGAGAGGGAGGTATCTCAATACCAGTGATATCCCGCCGTTGAGGAGGAGTAGTGTGGGGAGGGGTGAGAATCCACCTCGACTTTGATGGATGTTTGGGTTCACCTTCCTGGGGCAGACACTGGGGTCATATGTTTCTGCTGCTGTGCCTCAGTGCCTGAGCCGTCCTGAACGGAAGTAACAGTGTCTGTTGGTGTTGAAAACATAGTATAATGGTCTGAAGGAGACGAACGGGTATGCATGTGTTTTGTATGTTGGCGTTTGGGATGGATCGGGAAAGCACTAGGAGGTTGTCTTGTTGCAACGTCGGGCCTTGGTCTAAAGCTTAGACTAGATGGCCTATAGACCAACGAATATAGGAAACGGGTCAAATCTTTATATCGGGATTTGGCATGCTTGAAAGAGCTAATAGCAACGGAAAGAATGGCTTCATGGTCTAGGCCTGTTTACAATAGTGTCTTGGACAAGACAGCTTGAAAATTATCTGGAATGCTTTGACTTTGTTGGCTCCCCGTAATTTTTTTATTCATGTCGATTCATTGAGCAACGACAGCTGCATTCTGCATTTACAGCGAAGGAAAGTCACTTTCACATCCAACGTTATAGAATTCTAGGGACCTTCCATGAAAAGCACCAACGAAGAATTAGTAATCATTTTGATGTCATTCAGCCCGTTTCTGCTCCAGTTGTGAGGTTACCCAGAAGCACCCTCTAGACTACATAGTACAAGAGTGTGGTACTTAAGAGGTACCTCTACTCCTGGTACACTGGACGAGATCTCCCGTCTTCCGAATTGTTCCAAACCGTACAAGGATTGAATGAAAGGCATGAACAAGATCCAATTCGGTCTCTTTCATTTTGCAGAACAGGCATATTCATAGGATGAAAACGCATAGTCTAGTTATAACTAGGATGTTGATCCATACCTAGACCCGAGCTAACAATCGAACCAGTATTGCCTACAGTGCACTGCAGGAGCTCCATGCAGTAGGCTTGTTCGGGGCAGGCAGGCTCCACGTCACGTTCACAGATGTCAACGTAATCTTGTCAGCGCAAAAGGTGCATGGGAATTCCTACTTCCTCCTGATCACTATCCGAGGGCTTTCCGCTAGAGTCTGCTAGAGTCATTCCTTATTACTACCCAACTTCGGCACCCGCACTATCACATACTACCGTAGTTAGCTCAAGAGCGAAGTACCAACTTCGAGCACCTGCAGCCGAAGACAACCTCCAGCTTCGGGCAGTCACCTCCATCCTCCTTCTCCTCATCCTTCGCCTCAACCTCCCAACGCACATCCACCCTCACGTCGTCACCGCCAGCTTGAGCCCTTCTTCTCCTAGGCTCTCTCCGTCACGATAATCACAACATCCGTACATTCTTAATTCCTTTCCTCTTCGCCCACCGACGACGACAAGATGGATCCGAATCAGCAACAGCCGGCGGCCACGCCGGATGCGCCTGATAAAGAGACGATGGAGCAGATCCGTGCCCGACGACTGGCTAAGCTCGGTGGCCCCAGTACCGCTTCTACTACGTCGCCAGCTGCGTCCTCTTCCACGCCTCAGCCTGGAACAGAAACCCCTCCCGCTGCTGCGGCGGCGGCGGCGAGTTCGTCAAAGATCGAAGACAAGGCACCGCGAGTTCAGCCAAGGTCGATAATCAAGCCGGCGTCACGAGATGTGCCAGAGCCACCACCAGGTAGTTCCGCTTCCCGAAAGAGAGAAAGATCCCTTTCAAATATTGATGATATTCCATGCCCACCAGCACCGCGAAAGCAATACAGGGAACAGACGCTCGAGGAATGGACCGACAAGCTACTCACCAGCATCCTGCGCGTGTCTCTCGATCCGAACCAGACCTTCGATAGCAGTGGCCATAACTTGACCTTTCTGCCAGAACTCAGCCAGGAAATTCGGGGCGAGGATCAGGAGCCCTTGCTGTCGATCGACCGATTTCAAGAGGCCGTTATGGAGGCCGGAAGGGTCTATCCGCCGCACAAGCCCCTGTTCGAATACTTCCTGGCATGCTGGAAGCGGGTCACCAGATACAGGATATTGAGGGCGTCGACTCCTGAGAAGGAAGAAGCCCTCAAGGAGGCCAAGCGCTTGTGCTTCTCGAACTGCATCTTCGCCGTTACCATGCCCGAGATGTTTGGGTATTTATCTCCCGTGTCCTCTTCACTGTTTGCTCTAGCTGACATGATCCAAACTTGAACAAGTCGAGAACCCAACCCCAAGCACGATACCATGGTCCCCTACATTTTGGAAGGTGTTGCGAAGGAAGAAGGCCTCGACATCGAGTTTTACAACGAGGCCATGACACGGATCGAGGACGACGATAGCATTGTACCTCTCTTCACCAAGGCCATGGTGGAAATCAGCACAGCGCTGTCTACCAAAAACATGAACGGGGATTATCAGCCACACGTCCAGGTGAGTTTTACAAGCGACTTGCACGAGTTGTGCTGAGTGTTGATGTTGGAACCTCGCAGGCCCTCTTCACATACTCGAGATATCCGGCTCTCGTGAACGCTTTGGCAGAACACCCTACTTTCCTCATGGCGCAATCGGCCCCCAACATTGAACGGTTCACGCTGCTCGGCCCATTCTTCCGCTTGTCGCCCTTACACCCCGAGGCGGCCAGTTACGACTTTGCCGCACCAAGGACTCTTGACAAGGGCCGAATTGGCACAACCCAACAGTCATTACAAATGACGTTGGCTGCCCATCAGGAACACTTGACGACGATAGCTAATGCCTTCATACGAGCAAGCACTAGCTCGAGAAACAAGCTCCTGGACTGGTTCGCCTACATCATGAATGTCAACCATAAGCGCACAGCCACTTATGTCGACCCCAAGACCGTTTCGTCAGACGGCTTCATGGTCAATGTCACTGTCGTCCTCGACAATCTATGCAAGCCTTTCATGGATAACTCCTTTACCAAGATTGACCGTATTCAGGTCGACTACTTCAGGCGGAAGCCTAGATTGGACATCAAGGAAGAGACCAAGCTCAACGCTGACCAGGAGCACTCGGACGCGTTTTACTCTACAAAACTCGAAGGGGAGAACAACTTTATAACAGAGGTCTTCTTCCTCGCTTTGGCGGCACATCAGTATGGCACCGAAGCCACCCAAAACAAGCTAAAGGAACTTGACAAGCAAATCAAGCATTTCCAAAAGAACTTGACACTTATGGAGGCCGACCGTCCCAACCTGGTCGCCAATCATCCGGAACGAGTACCTATGCTAGAGGCGGCGCAGAGGAGACTGATCAAGATGCTGGAGAGCGCCATGTCGGCCAAATTTGCCATCGAAGGCATCATGACCGACAAGACGCTGCAAACGCGGTCACTACAGTTCATGAAGTACACGATTGTCTGGCTACTGCGAGTAGCCAGTCAGTCCGACTACGTCCCATGGAAGAAAATCAGCCTTCCGCTGCCTGAAACTCAGCCAGAAGCTTTCAGCTGTCTTCCCGAGTATGTTCTGCAGGTAATTGTTGATAGCTTGAAGTTCACCTTCCGCCATAGGCCAGAGGTCATGGTCTCGGCCATTGGTGACGAGGTCGTTGCTCTATGCATAACGTTTTTGGAGTCATCCGAGTACATCAAGAACCCGTACTTGAAATCGTCGTTGGTTACCCTCCTTTATCAGGGCACCTGGCCGGCATACCATCTTAAAAAGGGCATTCTTGGCGACATCCTTACCGGCACTAAGTTCGCGAATGACTACCTGCTACACGCTGTGATGAAGTACTATATTGAGTGCGAGTCGAATGGTACCAGTTCCGCGTTCTACGAAAAGTTCAACATTCGTTTTGAGATCTTCCAGGTTATCAAGTGCGTCTGGTCCAATGACCATTACAAGAAGCAGTTGACAGAGTCCAGCAGGTCAGTATATGTTTTATCCTACCATCTTTGCTGAATCCGACTAACTCGACCTAGGGTGGACCGCGACTTCTTCGTTCGTTTTGTCAATCTTCTCATGAACGATGCAACCTACGTTCTGGATGAAGCATTGAGCAACTTCCCCAAGATCCATGACTTCCAGCAAAAGCTAAAGGACCCCAGTCTTTCGCAAGAGGATCGCGAAAAGATGGAGAGCGATTTACACGACGCGGAAAACAAGGCCAGTTCCTACATGCAGCTTGCGAACGAGACAGTCGGCATGATGAAGCTCTTCACCCAAACCCTGGCTGAGTCCTTCACCATGCCAGAAATCGTTCACCGCCTGGCCGGTATGCTCGATTTCAACCTTGACCTCCTCACCGGTCCTAAGAGCCGGACGTTGAAGGTTGAGAACCCCGACAAGTATGGCTTCAACCCCAAGATTCTGCTACCGCAGCTCGTGGACATCTACCTGAACTTGGGTTCCTCGCCTGCCTTTGTCGAGGCCGTTGCTGCAGACGGCAGATCCTACAAGCCTGAGACGATGGCGTCTGCCACCAGCATTCTTCGCTCAAAGGCACTCAAGAATCCTACGGAGATGCACGCGTGGGAGGTATTGTGTAAGTGCTTCGAAGAGGCCAAGGCCATCGTCGACCAGGCTGATCTCGACTTTGGCGACGCACCGCCCGAGTTCGAAGACCCCATCATGGGCGACTTGATGAAGGACCCGGTGATTCTACCCAGCAAGCACGTCGTCGATCGGTCGACTATCGTGCAGCACTTGCTCAGTGACCCGAAGGACCCGTTCACGAGGCAGCCCATGACTATTGATGATGTCATTCCGGATAAGGAACTGAAGGCTAAAATTGAGAACTGGATGGAGGACAGGAGGGCAGAGATTCGCGGCAAGGTCGAGGAAGTGACGCCTGCTGTTGGTGATATTGCCGGAGCGGAGGCGGCGACGGGCGGAGATGCTATGGACACTACCGAGTAAGAAGTCGGGGTGGATGTTGTGGTTACATGCCTACATAGACACACATTTTTGGGTTGGTAGGTGTAACATGAAGCATCAGCGTAAATAAGAGCTAGGAGGAATATAAGAAGCGTAAATAACATTGTTATCCATCTTGGCTCGTGCCTGACAAATCTGTTGAAACCCGGTTGGTCTGCACAATTGTGGTTTGTACATTATGCCTGAGGTGTACTCTTGTGTCTACGCATATGATTTGCACCTTTGAACCCAAATTTCAGGCAATTCCTGTATGAAAACATCCCCAAGGGACTCTAGCTACACAGTAATGTATTTTTATAATATTATAATTCCTACTACGGTTTTGTGACAGCCTTTCTTAGTTACAACGAACGGTATTGGACTGTCCCTGTTCGATCAGAGGTCTCATCAACTTTCTCCATGGGCAAGACATCATACACCACAAGAATGAGTTTCGTGGAATTCCCACCAGTATACAAATGACATGAGCGTACATTGACCTCGAGAAAAAGAGTCTCCTGTCGTTGACTTGATTGAGATACCCAATTTGTAAGCAACACTTCGTTTCAACGGGCCGATCCACCTCACCATATTTTATCACCGAAAAACAGACTGTAATGTGATACCAAATCGACATTTCGCAAGACTATGAAAACTACGGACTTGGTATAATATCAATCAAGTCACGCACCAGTCCGGGTGTTACAAAAGAAACGATGTTAAAAGACGGCAGTTTCGGAGTTAGCAGTTAACGCGTTATCGATTTCTCATTTTTCTCATCATATGTTGTTGTATCACCCGCCGTATTGTAATGTCACGGTACGTAGTGTACAGAAAGAAAGAACCTCGGGGCAAAAAGTAGCGAGCGGAAGCGCATCAATGACGTTTTCAAACCCCACGCTAAATGTCTCCATTACAGTTACTGTGGTGGTGTAATGACCCCACAGTGCTTAGGCGAGCCACGGGGCGAGCTTAGCAATTGCTTGGTAGCTCGGGAAGGGGCGGGGCTCCGTGTTACAGTGCACATTACCTAGGTATCCGAGGAGGAAACTGAAGTTCGAAATCGCGGGAGGGTGATAAGACCGGAATCGAAATGGGACGAAATGGTTGTACTGTACGTATAATCGGGTTTGAGGATGGGATGGGGATGGGAATTGGAGGATGATGTTATGTGGGGGTTGCCGGTCGGGAATTGGAACAAAGTTCCTGGGAGAGACGGGATCGGAGTGCGGGATGGCGGCATTGCGGGGAGCGCCGCGGGTTTGTAATGGTATAAAAGAGGGATGAATGCCCCCGTAATACTTAGTAGTAGAGTAGAAGAGGGATCATCGATATTGTGCCATTGTCTTTTTATTTTGCCATACACACATACACGTTGATTTTAAGAACTTTACGCATCTTGATACCCATCCATCTTGTGTTTCTTTTCTGCGTGTTATACAATCCAAACAAAATGACCAAGGTCCTGTTGACTGGTGAGTTTCCTCTTTTCTCTTCACATGCAAGAAGATTCTCCTTTGAATCGTGAATTTGCGGATCGCTGACTGTTCATGATGTCTCTCTACAGGTGGTTCGGGCTTCATTGCTGGTATGTTCAAAACAATGATATTATTTTATCATGACTCCAACTGGGGAAAAGAAATATGTGTACACCATCGACCGTGCGCCGGACGGCCGCAAGGACAGGCAGGGATCACACTATGGACGAACATAAAGATGTTGAGATATCAAAAAGCAATGGATAGATGCTAAAAACTTCAATGGACAGCTCACATCCTCGAGCAGCTTCTCGCCAAGGGCCACACCGTGGTCACCACCGTCCGGTCTGAAGATAAGGCGCAAAACATCCGCGAGGCCTACCCCGATAAGGCCAGCAGCGGCGAGCTCAAGGTCGTCATTGTTCCCGATATCGCCAAGCTCGATGCTTTCGATGAGGTTGTGAAGGAGCCCGGTCTTGAGGTTGTCTTGCACACTGCTTCGCCTTTCCACTTCAAGTTCAGTAAGTGACTCCCTATCCACCTTGACAAGCTGCTTGTGAATATCCTAACAACCCCCAAAGAGGACCCCAAGACCGAGCTCATCGACCCTGCCGTCAACGGCACAACCGGCATCCTCAAAGCCATTGCCCGCTCCGCGCCCACTGTCCGCCGCGTCGTCATCACCTCCTCCTTCGCCGCCATCTTGGACGAGAACAAGATCACGGACCCGAACCACACCTTCAGCGAAGCCTCCTGGAACCCCGTCACCATCGACGACATCCACCGCAACCCCGCGACCGCCTACCGGGCCTCCAAGACGCTCGCCGAGAAGGCCGCCTGGGACTTTGTCCGCGACCCGGCTAACAATGTCAAGTTCGACCTGGCCACCATCAACCCGCCTATGGTGTTTGGTCCTGTCGTCCACCACCTCGCCAGCCTGAGCAGCATCAACACCAGCAACGAGCGCATTGTTGATTTGCTGCAGGGCAAGTGGAAGGAGGGCGTGCCGTCCACCGGTGCCGCCACCATCTGGATCGATGTGCGCGATGTGGCTAGGGCGCATATCCGTGCAGGTTTGGAGGTGCCAGAGGCGGGTGGGAAGAGATTGTTCACCACTGCTGGCACATTCAGCAACAGCGAGATTGCGGAGAAAGTGCGCAAGAATTTCCCCGAGTATGGGGATAAGTTGCCGGAGGGAGAGGCGCTCAAGAGCGGCGAGCTGCCACCGGACGATCAGCGGTTCAAGGTCGATAACAAGGCGACGAATGAGTTGCTGAAGATCGATTTCATTAGTGTGGAGCAGATGGTGGTTGACACGGTTAAGAGCCTGAAGGAGCATGGTGCGTAAAGCATGTAGTGATGTAGAGGAAATAATTAAAGAAGATTTCGGTTACGAACCTGGTTCAAACCCTTTGAGCGACGCGTGACCTGCTCACTCATCCTCGTCAATATCCATATTGGCCTCCGGCACTTTCCTCTTCCGAGGCGTTGCGGTGATGCTAGCAGAAGGATTCTCCAGCGCCTTGATCTTCCTCAGAATTCCCTGCTTCCAAATCGCATACTCCTTCTGCTTGCGTTCGCCCAAGTAATCATACCGATCCTGGAACATGCTATCCCCCTGCCCAACCCGGAATAGTTCGACCTTATTTGCACCCCGTCCATCCTCCGCTGCATCATCATAAGCTTCCTTTTCCAACACCGTCCTCGCCAAATCCTCCACACCGGCAGCCCAATCCATCTCCAACCACCCCTCCCTTCCAAGGTGCAATGTAGCCGCATTCAGATCCTTCACCCTCACGCCATCATCCACCCAACCCTCCCACACCTTCTCCTCATCCTGTTCCTCTTCCTCCTCCCTCCCATTTCCAAGCTTGACCGCCACCTTTACATTCTCCCTCGCCTTCTTCAGCGCCGCCGCGACCTTTTTTCTCATCGCCACGTATTCGCCCTCGTCAACATCCGATCCAGGCCAAGTAACTCCGCGCCAGACTAACAGGTATAGCGCGCCCAATAGTGATACCAAGTTCGCATTAACCCACTCGTCCTCGGTCCGCTGACCACGCGGGGCAACGATGGACTCAAGGCCTGACATGACCACGGGCCCGATATGTGACGGACCGAGTTCTTTGAGCAGAAAGCGGAGGGTGGGTTTCATCCATCCTGGTAATCCTCCTCCTTCTCCGGAAGTCCCATCCTTGCGGGGAAAGAGTGTGCCGCGGAATTGCTGAAGGCGTTTTTCTTTTCCTGGCCCAGTAGCAGTGCCGGGCGTCGTCGTCCTGCCAGTAGCAGCTGATCGATTATTCCTCGCGCTACGTCCTGCTGAGGGGGAAGCAGTGAGGTCATCAGCGCGATTTTGCTGGTCGCGAAGTCGAGAGGTGGGGGTTTTGATTGTCCGTTGGCTTCGCGGAGTGGCGGCGGCCGATTGTTCTGCTTTTCTGGGGGTTCCACCGCCGCGGCCAGGGGTCGAAGAGGTGGAGGGGAGGATGTTGGAGAGGTGGGAGTAGAGGCGTTTGTAGATGCGCGGTGGAATGGGAGGGCGGGGATCGATAGGGGGGAGATTCAGGGTTATTTTGAGTCTGTGAGAATGTGTTAGTGTTGGTTTTGTATAGTCACAGACAAAAGGTGAAGTAAGGCTGAGATGAGATGAGATGTAAAGGGATGAGTTGAGATGATGAGATGCAGTATCGTACCTGTCACATGCCAGGTGGGCGCAGGCATAAGTGCGTGCAATCTCCTCTTCGGCTTTGAGCGTGCTTGCGCGATGGCGGGATTGGGCGAGGAGTGAGCTGGCGAGGTCGACGAGTGGTTGTGGGAGAGTCGTGTTGTGGGTTGGTAAGAGTGATAAGAGCGCCTGTTCTATAGAGCGATTCATCTTGGCTTCCACACACTTCAAGAGGTGATTTGTTTACTTGTTTTTTCCCAGAATCAGTGATGGGGGTGATGATATGATGAGAAGTGAGCTTAGTTTTAAAGTAATGGTTGTATTTGTACTCCTGGTAGGCTATGTTTCGAACCTAGCATGTGTATGAATTGTTTATGATGAAGTCAGTCCATGAGCCTCACAAATAATGAAAGTGAACAAACAGAACAGACCGAGTTTCGTGACGCGACGAGACTCTTCCTCGCGTAAAACGCCAAATCACGTGTCGAGACTCCGCTGTCGGCGCACCTGTTAGTGCATAATTGCTCCCTAGGTAACTAAGAACTACGTAACATTGTGGGGCAATATGCGCACCGAGCTTTTAGTGTAGCAGTGCGGGAGGCCAGATGTCCAAAGTGGCGAGAACACTGACAGCGACTGACTCTGCGTTACAGAATAAGCGGTTGCCACCTGCCAGGGCGGCGTCAGCATTTAAGGCGGCACTGTGGCCCTTGATCAGCTAATCAACTTGCTCACCCAACCGTTTCGTTCTCCGCCGCCGCCGCGTCCAAGCAAGTGGCAGTTCCGTCCATTCAGTTGCATCTGCTGCAGTCTGCCACTGCACTGAGTGACTGGCACTGACTAGTACTGTACTGTGACTTCCACCACCAACACTTGGGTTTGGTCATTGTGAGATATCCGCTCCTTCGCATCCGTCCCGTCTGTCGCAAACAGAGAGAGAGAGTGTGGGTGTAAACAATCCACCATGGCTTTCCACGCAAGTGGGCTGCCGGTAAGTCTTGCGCAATCCGTCTTTTAGCTACCTTGCCGTCCTATTCCATGATGGAAGCTGACCCCTCCACGCGCCTGCCAGACCATCGCGGCGGCAACCACCGAGTTGTGGCCATCCATCGCGACGACCCTGACCGTTCCCTTCGGGTTACCGACATCTCTTAAGGCGCAACAACGGCTTTCCCACAACTCTCACGGCTCGACAGCATCTTCAAACGCCTCCCGCAACCTTGCTAGCTCCCCCGCGCGCGAAGCTTCCAGCTCCTCGGCGCTGCCCGCCTTCCTGAGAACGGCGCCTCTACCCCAGCCCGTTGTCTCTCAGGGTCTAGCAAATGCTTCGCCTACAAACATCTTTTCGGAAATCTCAAGCATGTCTTCCCGCCAGCTCGCCATGGCGAACCCCCTCTTCCGGCGCTCGTTCTCGGCGCTCATGTCGAGGCCCCTGGGCACTGTCAACACCCTTCGGTCCATGAGCACCCACCAGCCCGGTCGCATTCCGTCTTTCTTCCGCTCGCCAGTACACTCTCCTCTCGGTTTCACTCTCCAGGTCCGCAACTTTGGAAACGGTGGTCTCTCGCACAACCTTCTGGCTGCTCGCGAGGCCGCTGCCAACCAGTTCCCAACCAGCGCCGGTGCTCAGTATGCTTTCTACCAGGCTCTTCTCAAGGCGAACATGCCTGCTATTATTATCGAAAGGTATCAGTCTGGACGTTTCGCCACGAACGAGCAGGTAGACCAGATCTACCAGCAAGCCCTTGCCGTGTCTTCCGGTCAACCCTACACGCCTGCGAACAACACCGTTGATAACAACGGCTATCACCCCTCCGGTTTCACCGCTAGCCAGATCCATGCCGCTGGTACTGCCGCTGCTGCTCAGCATACTGGTGGAAACATGGCCATGGTCAAGCCGATCGCTGCTGGTGCCAAGACTGGTCCTCTGCATATCGTAGTTGACGAAAGTTTCGGAAGCTCCGCTCTCAGATGGGTCAAGTTTCTCATGTGGTTCACTCTCTTCACGTATCTCAGCATGGTTGTCATCACCATGGTTTTCGAGGGCTTGAGCAGCATCAAGCGCCCTGGTGGGAAGCTTGAGGCCAGCGAGGTCAAGCCCGAGAACCAGAAGGCTCGCTTCGCTGATGTCCACGGCTGTGATGAGGCCAAGGAAGAGCTTCAGGAACTTATTGACTTTTTGCGCAACCCTGAAAAGTACTCGACTCTTGGCGGCAAGCTTCCCAAGGGCGTGTTGCTCGTTGGACCCCCCGGTACTGGTAAAACTCTTTTGGCTCGTGCTGTCGCCGGCGAAGCTGGCGTTCCCTTCTTCAACATGTCCGGTTCCGAATTCGAAGAGGTCTACGTCGGCGTTGGCGCAAAGCGTGTTCGTGATCTCTTTGCCGCCGCCAAGGCCAAGGCTCCCTCAATTGTTTTCATCGACGAACTTGATGCTATTGGTGGCCGGCGTAACTCCAGGGACGCTACCTACGTACGTCAGACTCTCAACCAGCTTCTTACCGAGTTGGACGGTTTCGAGCAAAACAGTGGTGTAATCATCATCGGCGCCACCAACTTCCCCGAGTCCCTTGACAAGGCGCTTACCCGCCCCGGCCGCTTCGATCGCAATGTTGTTGTCTCTCTTCCCGATGTCCGCGGCCGCATGGCCATTCTCCAGCACCACGCCAAGCGCATCAAGGCTGCTGCCGATGTCAACTTGGAGGCTATTGCTTCCAGAACTTCTGGTCTTTCTGGCGCCGAGCTGGAGAACATTGTCAACCAGGCTGCTATTCACGCCAGCAAGTTGAAGGCTCAGGCTGTTACTCAAAAGGATTTCGAATGGGCAAAGGACAAGGTCATCATGGGTGCTGAGAAGCGTAGTATGGTTATCACAGCCAAGGAAAAGGAGATGACTGCCTATCATGAGGCTGGTCACGCCCTCGTCGGATATTACGCCAAGGACAGCGCAAGCTCGCTTTACAAGGTCACCATTCTTCCCCGTGGCCAGACTCTTGGCCACACTGCCTACCTCCCTGAGATGGACAAGCACTCGTTTACTGTCAGGGATTACTTGGGCATGATTGACCGTGCCATGGGCGGCAAGGTCGCCGAGGAGATTGTTTACGGGAACGAGCTTGTGACTAGCGGTGTTAGCGCTGTACGTTCTCGCCCCCTACCCTTCTGCTACTTGATTTGACGAGCTAACTAACAAATCATTCAGGATCTTGACATGGCCACTAGAACCGCGTGGCAGATGGTTGCTCAGCTCGGCATGTCTGAGAAGCTCGGCCCCGTTGAGTACCTCCGCAAGTACAACCAGCTCAGCTCCGAGACCAGGGCGATGGTTGAGTCTGAGGTGAAGAGAGTTCTGGACGAGTCCTACGAGCGTGCGCGTAACCTGCTCACCTCCAAGAGGAATGAACTCGACTACTTGGCCAAGGCGCTCGTCGAGTACGAGACGCTGGACAAGAAGGAGGTTGAGAGGGTGATTCGGGGAGAAAAGTTGAAGGATCGCATCTCGGTGCCGCCAGGGCCTATGGCTATCCCCAAGCCCAGCGACACCCTGGAGCCGGGCCTCCCCCTACCACCCCTACCTGGCGATGTGCCGCCTCCGGGTGACAGTGGCCCGGGACCGGCCCCGCCGCCGCCTGTGCCCGCGTGAGGAGCGCAGAAGTGAGTCGCGTGAGTGGTGGGTGGGTGTAAGTAAAGGTGCGGAACAGGACATAACTTGTTCTTATAAATCAATCATGAACAAACAACAGCCTGAATTATTTTCCTCGATTTCGGGGAGTTGGGCAAACCACAAAAAGCATGAATCTCACATCACACAACAAGACCATTCTAATGGGTAGCGGGGTTAGGGTATCAAATCAGGCACTTTCTTTAGGAATTGTATTTTAGTTTCCTTATTATTCTTTTCATGTTTTTAGGTTGGGTTTACAAAGCGCATCATTTTCTTTTTCCAAGAAATTGATGAGGACGAGGAAGAATGAAGATTGATTGGGAGGATGGATAAAGGTAGTAGGTGTGGATGGAGGCATTAGATGGCGTTTTTGTGTGTTGTGTTAGGAGTAGTACACTTTTACTTTTGCTACCACTTCCTCTTGTTACCCCATGGTTGATAATGATGGTGATGATGGTGATAGTGAGGATGATGGCTATCGCCGCTCTTACACAGTTACTGGCTTGGTCGGGTAGCGAGGTAAGCCGCAGCAGTCTGCCCCATAGCGAAGCTGAATTGATGTATCAAATATGGTTTTCTATCCTTGACATTTATGACCGCCTTCCCATTCCCAATTGGGCATGTCTCTCTCCAGGCCCGATGATTTTGTGTGTTTCTGACTCGCTATTTTCCGTATGATGTATCGCGCATCATGTCTCGTGGCGTAGGACAATCAAGCCACTCGAGCAAGCCACTCTGGCTGGCAATGGAACACAGAGGCTTCGGAGCTGATTTCGGACGCTACAGTACCAAAACAAAAGGCGGAAAGTTCAGTTTGTACGAAGGCTGCCACTTGAGGCTGAAAAGCAAGTCAACCAACACTATTCAGACTTCAGCCTCAAGTGCCTGCAAGTGGTCTTGGACGGCTACACGGGCGGAGCTAAACATCCGGATGTGCAGGCCGAGGCAGGTTGGCAGGCGGGAGGAAATGTTTGATGTTCAGTTGATCTTCCTCTCTGTTGACAGACAGCTAGATGGGTCTGTTGTCGATCACTTGGTTCCTGGATGTGTACCTAGCTACGTATCAAACTTTTGAGTTGCCAAAAATATCCCATCGAATTCTCCGCTGTTTGTTTGGGTGACTACTTGAGTTCAAAAGGGTTCCTCAACTGACAACTGAAGTTTGCTCTTACAATTGCGCACAGTCCCGGCGGGTGTCACGATGGCGTTCTCGGGAAAAGAATCATTCAATCATTGAGTGAGTTCAGTTGTTTGTGTGGTGCTCTCGGAGGAAGCATAAACATGCACCATGAGTGGAAAGTCCATGGTAAAATACGACTTGCCAAGGCAAGCGATGGCTTCGGATGTTTCGTTTTGTTAAGCAATCAAGTTCCAGATGCGACCAGCGATCGGATCTCGGCTGACCAAAACCTAGTTATATGTATGTACACTGCGTACCAGAAAAAGTAGAAGGTTGGTTGAATGGATAGAAGGCAGGTATAGTAGGTAAGTAATAAGATCTAACAGATATTGCAGTGGTTATGGTCGGGGATGTGAGTTGTAGTGTGCC